TTCCCCAGAATGATTAGAAAAATCTTCCTTCTCACTTCCTAAAGAAAGAACCAAAAATTTCCCAGACTTTCTTGAATGATGGTGAGCAAACAGTAATTAATTTATTCCCCCTCCATTGCTCAAGTTTGGAGGAAATGTTATGAGTTAAAAAAAAAAGCAAGACAATAACTTCCTATTATAAAAGACAGATGCCCTGAAGAATTTCACATTTCATTATGTTAAAAAGTTGCTGTAAGTTTTTTTTTTTTTTTAATTTGAGAAAAAAGTCTCCAAAGTAAAAGTGTGTGAATCTCTAGCATGTCAGGCTTGAAAACTGCAACGAAAATTGATCTCCATTCACTTCCCTGACACTTTCCTTACAACAAAGCACTAACTAGGCCGGCAGTCAGGCTGGTGTATGCAGTAGTTGGCCAGGAGCTCAGGAGAGGGATTAAAGCATCTTTACCATCACCTGAGCTATTCTTCCAGTATATATCTCCAGCTAATGTTTAACTGTTTAACTATTATGTAACTATATTTTATTCTAGCTTGTCTTAATCTAACCTTAAATATGTCCCCAGTACATGCAACTATGCAACAGGGATGAGAGAAGACACTGGCAATTTCTAGGAGTATTTCCTCCCATGTTTCAAGAAAGCCAAGGCTGGTGTCTCTCACTGTTTTACTTGCACAGCACGCTTGCAGCCTTGGCTTGGGGTGCCAGCTCCTCTCCCAAACATATACTTTACAAACTCAGGGTAAGTTCAATTTTTCTGAATCGTTAGGTGAAAATTAAAACTTTAATAAGCATACAGTGACATATTAGAGATTGTACAGTTGTGTTTGTGGAATGAAATGTTTGTAATAAGCAGTCATGGTAAATAGCTGAGTAATTTTGTGGTGATTGTTGGTTATTTTTAATGTTAGCTTTAAAGATAAGTTTATAAATGAGGTAATCAGTTGTCAGAATTTCATTATTTTTAGTCTCCTAGCTTAGGACCCAAAATGATACATAGCTAATAATCTGTGCTGTGGATCTGATCATCTGTATTGTGGGGGAGCCTTTGAAATGTTTGTTTTTCTGATAGTTAACTTCTTAAGTTCTCCATTTCACTTGCATTGCAGTATTAGTTGATGCATTAAAAAAGAAAATATACCAACTTTAAAAATTAAATTTCTATATTCAAAGCCAATAAAATGTCCTATAGTGTTAAGATGTCAGATCTTGCACAGACACTGGAAACAGTTATTGAGGTTTCACAGCTGAGGATGGAAACATTTTTGTCAGTGGTGCTAGCCTCCCTACTGTCTTCTTCTGTACATCTGCTTCAGGATGCATTGTGTCCTCCCATTCCTCAGGGGTCAATGAGCTTTAGTCTGTCCTCAGCCCAAAGTCCATTTCTCCCATCTGGCACTTGATCTCACAAATGCTTGTCATTGGCCATCAGAAAGACTGTTCAGACTCAGCACAGAAAAAACAACCCTGTGTCAAAGCCTGGGTGAGTCAGCCCCATTGTTTTCAGCTAATTAATGTTACCGAATGACAGGTTAAATAATATGCACCTGTATATCAACTTGGATAGCAGTATGAAACTCTGAATCTGTCTCTCTAAGTCTTTGACAACAAATCTACTTCCTGAATGCAGATGCTAAAAGAAATGAGAGCCCCTGATCTTTACGGAGTCTGCCATTTCAGTCGTTTTGAGCATTATTCATGCACCATCTTGTAAACTTGGCCATGCTTTCAGTCTAAATTCTGCAGACTTTTCTTCCCATTGCAAAGGACAATGCTTCTATGTGGCAGTAGCAGAGGCAGCAGCATTTGTGGCGGTTCACAGAAATGATTGTTTTATAAAAGAAGAAGTACAGCTTTAGATTAAAATTAATCTAATTTAATCTAACCATTTAATCTAATCAGCAAGTCCACTGCTCATGATCATTCCTGGTGGTTATAAATGAGGAAATTTGAAATAGAGCTGGGCAGGAAGAATTCTTGATCAGTTTATGGAGTCAAAGCTACAAATTAACAAGATGGCATGTGCTTCTGCCTGGAAGTATTGACATTTAATAACAATATCAACCCAGGTTTTTTTTCAGTTGCCTTCCTACTCAAGCTGTGGCCTCAGACTAACAGTGCTGTCCTCTCTGGAGAGGTTGTGAGGATGCAAACTTGCAGCCTCCCATCTCAGAGTCAGAGTTCAAGCTTGAGAAAGACCCATAGGCGATTCATCTGCTCATGAACTTTGGGGAAAAACGTTCCTGCTCAGAAAGGACTTCCAACATGTTTCAGACTTGCAAACCACCTAAGATTCAAGGGGCAATCACCCTGCCAGAGGATTTATACTTCTTCTCTTCCTTCCACAGAAAGGAACACAGCTCTTTTGGAAAGGACTCATACTACCCAGAAGGCAAAGACAATGAATGCGTCTGAGCTCTGGAACCCCCCAGAAGTACAGTTCTGCTTTGCTGGGGCAAACAATTCCTGCCCTAGGAAGGTGAGGCCCATGCTGGTCGTCTGCACCATGTACCTTGTCATGATAGGAGCAATAGTGATGACCATGCTGGGGAACGTGCTTGTGATCATCTCTATTGCCCACTTCAAGCAGCTCCACTCCCCAACCAACTTCCTCATTCTCTCCATGGCCACCACAGACTTCCTGTTGAGTTGTGTGGTCATGCCCTTCAGTATGGTCAGGTCCATTGAGTCGTGCTGGTACTTCGGGGACCTCTTCTGCAGAGTGCACAGCTGCTGTGACATCATGCTCTGCACCACCTCCATTTTCCACCTGTGCTTCATCTCAGTGGACCGCTACTATGCTGTCTGTGACCCTTTGCACTATGTCACCAAAATCACCATTCCTGTCATCGAGGGCTTTCTGTTCATTAGTTGGTCCATCCCCATCTTTTTTGCTTTTGGCTTGGTTTTCTCAGAATTAAATTTGATCGGGGCTGAGGATTTTGTTGCAGCCATTGACTGTACAGGTTTGTGTGTGTTGATATTTAACAAGCTCTGGGGGGTGCTGGCTTCCATCATAGCCTTCTTTCTGCCTGGGACAGTCATGGTGGGTATTTACATATACATTTTCAGAGTTGCCCGGAAGCATGCCAGGCAGATTGGCACAGGTCCTAGGACAAAACAGGCCACCTCAGAAAGCAAAGTGAAGGCCTCATCCAAAAAGGAGAACAAGGCCACAAAGACTTTAAGCATAGTCATGGGGGTATTTGTGTTGTGCTGGCTACCCTTTTTTGTCTTGACAATCATAGACCCTTTCATTGACTTCATGACCCCTGAGGATCTGTACAATGTCTTCCTCTGGCTAGGTTACTTTAATTCCACTTTCAATCCCATCATATATGGTATGTTCTATCCTTGGTTTCGCAAGGCCCTTCGGATGATAGTCACAGGGAGGATCTTCCATTCTGACTCTTCCACCTTAAGCCTGCTTTCTGCACACCCTTAGGTAACCCCCTCCCCATTAGTCTAGATTCTTCCTAACAAAAGGATCTCATGTGCTCTTTTCCCCAAAGGGCAGAAGGTTGTGATGCTTAGATGGGAAAAAATTTTCAGCAGACATTTTGGCCTCCTGTGAAAGCAGTAAATCTAGTATTTTTCTTATTGTTGTTGTTGCTTCTGCTTCCCCACCCTCGTGTGTGTGTGTGTGTGTGTGTGTGTGTGTGTGTGTGTGTGTGTACTAAAGCTACAGAATGGTTAATTTCTGTGCTGCTGCCTAAGGCACTCATTGGAACAAACAAGAAAAGGAACAAAACCAAGTTCCTCCAAAGGCTGGTGACTCCTGAGTTACCAGATTTAGGGATTTACTTCTTTGGCTTAGATTTAATGAAAGTGTTCTCACATCAACTTGGTAAATCAGAGGAGGAGACACATATTTTCTACAATCACTGACCGCCATGAAGTACATCTGAATTTATCCAAACATCTGTTGAGATCATTACTTTTCTTTTAGAGAACTGAGAATGAGCTCAAGCACCTCAAAATCTGAATTACAGAAAACAAAGAGTTTCAGGAATTTTTTTCCGTTTTTCTTCTGACATATATTTTTAATGTATGTTGGTACATAGGCAATCTGTGAGCACATATAATGATGGTGTGCGGAGGGTTGGAATATGTGTTTGTGGTGTGTGTTGCATGTATGTGTGCACTAATTGTTAACCAAGACTGAACTTAATTTACCAAACTGAGCCCTTTTCCCTATCCATACTTTTGGGTTGTTATAGTCTCCCTAAATGTCATTTCTCCATGCTTTTTTTTTTTTTTTTTTGTCTTTTCCTTCCTCCTATCTCATGCATATATTTCACTAACTTTTGGCCCTAGTCTTCTCATTTTCCTCTTTTGTCATTCTTGCAGTAAGATCAGAATACTTGATTAAGTAGATTCTCATTATCTGTTCACTTGGCCAGATGACATCACAGTCTGCTGTAAGATACTGTGACCCTGGGGTTCCTGGGGTTCCTGGGGTTCACGTCTACAAGTCTCAAGTGAGCCTTTAAGAGCACATTTCCTTCTTTGAATCTAGCCTTGGGCCAGCACTTCCACTGTCTACTTATTCCTCAGCTTTGAACACCCCTAAAATAACATTTCTAGTCCCATTTGGGATACTCCTGGGAATCTCTTGAACTGTATGTATTAAATACTAGATCTTTCAGGGTTAAGGATTTGATCATCTGAATAAAGTATCTTCAAAGGTACCGACAAGGTTCAATAAACTGCTTTTATTTTGACAGAAAATACATGAAGTAAAAATTAGGCTTTGAAGTGTTTGGCCACAAGTTTATTGTCTTGTGGTTGAGGTCATTTAATCCTTCAGATACCTTTTACCCTAAAATCAGGTGGCAGTATACAGAGGCTGGGGTGTTCTTTCTTTTCAAAGAGCCAAAGGAACAAGGGAGTTTCTCAGGGCTGAACCTCAGTCCAGGTCTTGAAGGCACAAGGTGTCCCCTTGTAGTTAATTGAAGCAACAGCTAAGACTGCCTTCTGTGTTAGGTATCCTTTCTTCTGGTAGCTCAACAAGGCGCCTTTGAATATGATTGATTGAATGGGGAAGGCATTCACCCATCATGGAGTCATTCTCTCTACTGATCCTCAAAAAACAAAAACAAAACCAAAAAACAACAGAACCTGTGACAATGAAAAACTAGGGCCTGAGGCCTTCCTGCAGGCTTCCAGCATTTTTTACAAGCAAGCCAAGTAACAGGAATTGAAGGAACGGGCAGAAGCCATGACTGAAGCCAGATTGTTCCTCATGTTAAGGAACTTTACAGTTTACGAGAGTGTCCAAACACACTGACTGAGCAGTCTCCAGGGCATTCTGGTACACTCCTCCTATGCCAGTTTAAGCAGAAATGAAATGTCCCATCATATGTCCCTCAACTCTTCTCTGTCTCATCCAGGTTGGACAGAGTGGTCATTGTCTGAGGACCTTGGTGACTTCCACAGATAAACGGCCCTGTACCGAAACACATTTGGGTTAATAAACATTTACCTAGCTCGTACTCTCTGCCTTGCTGCTCTGCGTGCGTATGATTGAGAGGTGATTGAAACAAGCTCCGTTTTCAAGAGACTGCTGCCCTAATAGGGGGAGGACCAGCTAACCACCAGAACTGAAGAGCCATGTATATGAAAAATACACACAGAAAAGCTGTGAGGACACTGAGGGAGAAAACGTAGCCTCAGCAGGCTGTGGTGATGCCTGTGCACCTTGTAAGTCAAGGAGACATACTAAGTAAGGCAAGAGGGGTAGCATCTCCAGTAGAATTGGGATAAATGCCAGGAAAGGTAGCTAGGGCATCAGAGAAAGACTGACTCATGGTCCTTGGATGAAGCAGGTTGGCATAGGCACTTCCAAACCCTGCAGAGGGGCTGCAACATGAGCCAGGGTGGTGGGAAGTAGTGACTGTGTGTAGCTCATGCCTGGTATCTGTGCTCATGAATTCTATGACCAGACCAAGACCACAGGTGCTCTGTAGTCAGCAAGACAAGCTGGGTGCAGAGCAGAGGGAGTGGTGCTCAGCTGGAGCCTACTGGTTCCTCCTCTCCAGCTTAGCACCAACTTAGAGATGGGTAAGTGTAGAATGATAGCCACGGCTCCCCTTGTATTTTGAGTCTTGAGAGCATCTTGTACGTGGTCCTCTAACTTGGGATTGTGTCCAGGAAGAGATTTGGGAGGTGCCGTTTCTAGCTGCAGATGCCACAGCATGGTTTGTCATGGGAAATAAAATGAGAGAAGGGAACAGTAGACTATGTTAGCATAGAGTCAGTTCGGTTGGCCAACGAGGACAAGCTGAGCTGCGAGGGTGTGAGAAAAGGCTTGGGGAGCCCCGCATGCTAAGAAACCGCATCCATTTGGTGAGTAGGAAGCACTCAAATATGAAGAAAATTCAGCTACTAAGTTTCGACATTTTTCTTTAAACCCCATTAAAATATTTAGGTTCTGTGTAGCCCAGGCTGACTCAGAGATTTTCTTTACAAAAGTAGTAAAGGAGCCCACAGAACAAGCCTGGCAAAATGTGCTCCATCTTCTGACTCCACAGAAAAGTGGAAGAAGAGAACCAACTTCACAAAGCATATGAGGGAACCACCCAGAGACTGTACCTGTCACTTCCTGTGCACAGGAACGGATGAGCATGCTTTGTCTTGCTCTCCATGCCTTCTTGATAACTCTCTTTTCTGTCCAAAGCCTTGGTTGTGTTATCAGCTCTTGTCCCTCGTGCTGGGGAACATCATGGCCATGTGTGTGTGAGGTATGTGGTGGAAAAGAGTGCTCACTTCACGTCAGCTAGACAGCAAGCAAAGAGGTAGAAAGGAAGGGGCAGGACACGATACAGCCTAATAGCTATATCTAGTGACCTGCTGTGACCTGCTGACCCCAACCAAGCACCACATCCTCCCTCTCCTTCCACTAGATCCATCAGGCACAAATCAGTGAAGAGGTTGTCTCATTTATTATTAGGTCAGAGACCTCTTGACCTAATCATAATGACTATTTTTCACTAATACAAATGCTCCGGGATTAGGATGTCTTAAGTGTGGGTTATAACAGAAAAGGTAGAGTTTTGTTTCTCTAACTGGAAAAATAATTATTACAGCGTTCTTCTGAAAAGCTTTGCAACCTTACCATCAAAAGTTGTTTGGCAGTGTTTATAAGTTTTTATGTGGCATAAAAGATGTTTTTACTATGTACAAAAATTATACGAGGCATGATCTAATAATTGTAAGGTACTTCAGTAATGCTAAGATGCATTTTTTTCTTAACAAAAGTAGCACATATTATGTAAATCCCTTCCAGATGCGGTATGTTATTTTAGCAATCTCCCTCGCAAGCAGCATTTACCTAATATTTTCTGTTGTCCTTTGCTGTCTGAACTGCTCCCTCATCCCAAGCACGCAGAATGCTCACGCCAATGCCAGGTCTCTATGATCTAAGAGAGTTCTTGCCCGGTTGTTACAGATAGCATGAAAACATTGTGAAGATGTGTCTTTGGGGATGGCCTGAGTTTTCAGTGCTAGCCCATTTCCAGGAAATGTAAACAGGGCTGGCCTATACATTAACTTAGGGTGGGCTGAGACATACATACTTTTGCTGCCCAGATAAAGCAGCAATACATTGCAGACAGAAAGGGATGAAGGAGGTCACTGGACAAGGGGCTTTTCAGAAACCCAGAATTGTTACGTTATCTGAGTTTTGCTTCTATCCAGGGGAGAGGCAGAGGAAAGGGCTTGCTTGCTCCTTTCTAAGCAGTGTTTTCTGATGTTGGTTGCTCAACTCTAAATGGGACATCCTATCACATCTGCTCCACTGGGGTTCATGGACTATCATGGAAGGTGGGGATCAGGAGAGAGTGTACAAGCCAGAATACTCTCTTCTGGGCATGACTTGGCCATTACTTTCATGAACTCACAGCAGCTGAAGTTGCCCAAACCAGACATGTGTAAGACTGAGCCTGTCAATATTCCAGTATAAACGAGAGAGAGAGAGAGAGAGAGAGAGAGAGAGAGAGAGAGGCTCGTGAGACCCAGCTATAGATGAGGAGCTATCGGAACTAGTGGCTGCCAGGAGAGAGATAGTCATTTTACCTCAGTAGTAGCCAGTGATAAGTTGTCTGTGCTTCAGTATATAGCCCTATGCCCACAAGACTGCAAGAGATCCTAGTTAAACTTATTCAATCATTTTTTTTAAACTATCTGAAAGAGAAGAGAAACTGTGTGGGGGAAGTGGGAGGGAGATAAGACAAGGAAAAGAGTAGGAAAATGGTCAAAATGTATTCTATTTTATACACTAAGGTGTCAAAGAATAAATAAGAACACATTTAAAACTTGATAATATAGTACTGCTATTACTGGCCAATATGTTCATGACATTATGAGTAAAAATGATGATTAATCTTGATTTTTAATTTGATAGGGATGAGAAACACCTAGGAGATTAATAAAACACACCTGGAGTGGATTTTCAGAAGTGGTTAGGACAAGAGTGCTCTGTCCTAACAATAAATGAGACAGCCTCTTCAGTGAATTGTGCCTAATGGATTTAGTGGGAGAGGGGGTCAGTGGTGCTTGGTTTGGAGTTGGCAGGTCACTGGGGTGAGCCCCCGGCAGTGTCCTGCCCCCTCCTTTCTACCGCCATGATGCTCCCCAGCACAGACAAGAGCTGATAAAACAACCAAGGCTTTGGACAGAAAAGAGAGATATCAAGAAGGCATGGAGAGCAAGACAGAGCATGCTCATCCATTCCTGTGCACAGGACGTGACAGGTACAGTCTCTGGGTGGTTCCCTCATATGCTTTGTGAAGTTGGTTCTCTTCTTCCACTTTTCTGTGGAGTCAGAAATGGAGCACAGTTTGCCAGGCTTGTTCTGCAGGCTCGTTCTGCAGGCTACTTTGCCTGGGTCATCTCATCAACCAGTTTTGTAAAGAAAATCTCTCCCGTTAAAGGAAGAATACATGAAGTTTTAAAAGAAAGGTGACTGCATTTGCCTTAATTGTGCAGCCCTTGGTCCCATAAAACAGGAAGACTGTTTCTGGGTTTGTGTACAGGTTAAAAACTACAGGCTTAGAAAGGCAAAGGAAGTTGTCCAAGATTACTTGGGAAGAGCTAGCCAAGCTGCCTTGCGTTGTCCTGCTCCATAACCCATGCCTTCCTCATTAACTGGTCCCTCACCGAAGGATGGAAGCCTTGAATGACCATCTTTCCATCTCTGCAACCAGTCCATACTCTCTGTCCACAAATTTATTCAGCTGTATACCACAAACCCTTTTCAGGTGAACAAGAAAGGGGAAACACATCACGGGGAAGAACAGGACAGCTGTAATGCATAAACTCATTGTGCTTTTACATAATGGAATGTAATTACTATAAGCATAAAAGACAAGTTATACAGCAGGAGGTTCAAGTCTCAATTAATCACATTGCTCTCTGAGATGGTGGAGATTAAGAATAAGCTTTCTCTCACCAGCACAGACCCCGCAGTGGTCTATAGCTCAGAACAGCAGGGTGGGAATGTAGACAATGAGATTTAGCTGTTTTCCATGAGATGGAACTCAGTGTTCTCCCAAATGTAGATCACTAGAGGGATGGTCCCAGAACCCTGTCTTTTGTTTTTCTCCATAAGCAAGGGTGTTCACAGGAAGATCATTTCAGAGCCCACGTGTGGGGAAACATGGAAGCAGCTGCCACAGGTTCTGTGGGAGACCCTTCCCAACCGTGAAACGGGCCTGAGAGAGAATAATATCATATATTATCTTTCCATTAAATAACTTGTTGTTAATCTTCATTCATATGTCACCCCAGAGTGGAATCAGAACTAGCTTGTAATAAGTATATACAACTGTTGTCTCAGCACCCCAGGACGCTGAGGCAGGAGGAAGAGGACTCCTGGGTCAGCCTGGGCTACACAGAACCTAAATATTTTAATGGGGTTTAGAGAAAAATGTGGAAATTTAGGAGTTGAATTTTCTTCCTATTTAAGTGCTTCCTACTCACCAAATGGATGTACATTCTTAGCATGTGGGGCTCCCCAAGCCTTGTCTCATACTGTCGCAGCTCAGTATGTCCTCATTGGCCAACCGAACTGGCTCTATGCTGACAGTGTCTGCTATTCTCTTCTCTCATTTTATTTCCCATGACAAACCATGCTTTGGCAACTGCATCTAGAAACGGCACCTCCCAAATCTCTTCCTGGACACAATCCCAAGTTAGAGGACCACATACAAGATGCTCTCAAGACTCAAAATACAAGGGAAGCTGTGGCCATCATTCTGCATTTATCCTTAAGTTGATACTGTGCAGGAGAAAAATTGTGTGTCTCCTCCTCTGATGTCCCAAGTTCAAGTGAGAACACTCTCATTAAATCTAAGCCAAAGAAGTAAATCATTAAACTTCAGGAGTCATCAGCCTTTTGAGGAAGTTGATTTTGTTTGTTTTTGATTTTATCAAATGAGTGCCTACCGTAGCAGCCCAGAAATTAACCATTCTTTACCTTTGGTACACACCCACACATGCACACACAGGTACAGCAGCAGCAACAACAGCAATAAGAAAAATACTAGATTTACTGCTCTCACAGGTGGCCATAATGTCTGCTGAAAATTTTTTCCCATCTAAGCATCACAACCTTCTGCCCTTTGGGGAAAAGAGCATGTGAGATCCTTTTGTTAGGAAGAATCTAGACTAATGGGGAGGGGGTTACCTAAGGGTGTGCAGAAAGCAGGCTTAAGGTGGAAGAGTCAGAACGAAAGATCATCCCTGTGACTATCATCCGAAGGGCCTTGCGAAACCAAGGATAGAACATACCATATATGATGGGATTGAAAGTGGAATTAAAGTAACCTAGCCAGAGGAAGACATTGTATAGATCCTCAGGGGTCATGAAGTCAATGAAAGGGTCTATGATTGTCAAGACGAAAAAGGGTAGCCAGCACAACACAAATACCCCCATGACTATGCTTAAAGTCTTTGTGGCCTTGTTCTCCTTTTTGGATGAGGCCTTCACTTTGCTTTCTGAGGTGGCCTGTTTTGTCCTAGGACCTGTGCCAATCTGCCTGGCATGCTTCCGGGCAACTCTGAAAATGTGTATGTAAATACCCACCATGGCTGTCCCAGGCAGAAAGAGGGTTATGATGGAAGCCAGCACCCCCCAGAGCTTGTTAAATATCAACACAC